TGCTAGTTCCCATACACCTGAGGTCCCCAGAGCTGCCCTGGTGCCTACTGTTCCTTCCTTGAAGCACCCCAGCATCTTTCCAATAAATGCCTGCCCTTTGTGACCTGTAACCAGAGGAACTGCAACTAGGGCACCCGCTGAAGGAGTCCTGCTCCTGCGAGGGGTGGGGAGGCAGGGGGAGCACAGGAGATACTCTCATCCCACCTCCAAGGAGTAACAGACATCAAAGAGACCTAAGGATCTCAGTATACCCGGGACTATCTACCACTGAAGACTAACCATGGCAAACTGGACTGCCTTACTGATCAACTTCCTGCAAAAGCCCCCACATCCAGCATGTAATGGAAGTGAAGGGGAGGGGTCTGCCATCATTCACTCCACAAATGTCTGTTCAGCCACCAACCTAGAGCCAGGCGTTATACCAGGAGCTGTGGACCCAGCTCTGAACCAAACAGACTCACCCCAGGACCAGAATCAGGGCTGGCTTCCACAAAAGGCAGACTGAGGAAGTGTCTAGGTCACTAGCAGAGAAGATACACCAAAAACAAAAGAATCCAAAAAAAATCAGAAGCAATATGACATTTGATTTTTTAAAAGCAGTCCTTATGGGAAAAGTCTGAATTTTATTGTACTTTCCTACATTCCTTTCCTGATTGCATGTTGCTTTTGTTCTGAATCACGTGCTGAGGGTTGGGGTTGGCGGTGGGGGTGTCAGCATAATCATTTTGTTGCTTCGTGCTTGTATGGGTCTGGATTCAGTCCTGGGCGAATGGCACTGCCTCTGTCTCACAAAGACCTGACTGAGGGTTAGCTGAGGGAGCTGACCTAAGGAGAGACCCCCTCCTCATTGCAGCCGCGGGGCAGGGGGTTGGATACAACTCTGACCACAAGATGGCAAAATCGTCAGTGACGCTCCCTCCGATATTTGTTTTATATGTTTATGTAAAACTATTGGTTTATATCAAAATGCTCTCTAAAAATATTTTCTTTGATGTTGTGCTCCTTCACACGTCTTGAGGTTCACATCTAAAATTTTGCATCCAAAATGTCAGGCTGCAAAGAAAGTGATTTCTGACAAATATTAACAGTCACGAACAAAACGTCACGGCTTTACGTGAAAGCAGTGAAACCTAAATATGTTAGTGATTTGAGAGCAGCCACCGTCATCTGTTTTAAAAATTCTTCTTTGATAGTGGGAAGTTGTACATTTTCCCTTTTCTGCTTGAGTTCTCAATTCCATTTTATTCTTCTAACAGAATTTTATCCGAATAATATACATTTTTGCACTTGAAATGATTTTATTGATTATCGGATTGTATTTCCCTGCAGCAAAAAAGGTACATATTATTCTGTTTAAATGCTTTTAAAACATTCCTGTGATCCTAAAGCTCTAAGTGTTGTTTAAAATTTTTACTCTTGCTTGAGTTATCATGACAATTAGTATTGGAATACAAGGGATCAAAAAATTGTGAACATATTATAAATTTTGATGGGTAATTATTAAACACAAAAACAAAAATGTACTAGAGATAGATAAGTCTTTTTTACAAAAGGTTAGGGGGTGTATCCATAGATAAATATTGCTTGTTTTTAGAATGAGACAGGATTCAGCATCAATTCTCTTCCTACTTTTTTGAGGAAACATTAGCACACAGAAACCTCATTTATAAAAATAAGTAAATGGGAATGGACATTTTGTTTTAGCAATGCCACTCAAGTATTTGAATTCTTTTGGAGATATATGGGGGTGATTATACAATGATTTATCTTCAAAATTATTTCTCATGATTGATCAGCTGACAGTTTCATTGGGTTCTCCTTCAATTTTACTGGAAGCCATCTGAGTTGCAAAAGGATTTCATACGGATTCATTCGTTAGAGCAATTTGTTCCTTCACCATTGACAGCAGTGTTTGGAACTGTCTCCCTGGTACACTGAGGATTTTACACCACGGGGCAGTGCACCCAGGTAACATTCAGGATGGTTCAAAGATATGCATTTCTTTTATAAAGTGCAAAAAGGATTTTTGTGAAAAGGGTGTTGGGAAAAGAGAAACAGCTTGATTCCTCCACTGCTAGTGTGTTCTCTGGCAGATGAATTTTAGGAAATATGAAAATGAAATTTGAGGATGTCGAAATTGATCCCCTGAAAACTCTAAGTGCTTATTTACCCCCGTGGAAAGTCTTACTATACCCCCAGAGTAATGCACACTCCATATTTAAGGTTGCTGGTTTATATTTATTATTGTAAAAATAATATGTACAATATTTGTAGATTTTTAAAATTTTTTTATTGAAGGGGTAGATAATTAGGTTTATTTATTTATTTTTAGAGGAGGTACTGGGGATTGAACCTCAGACCTCGTGCATGCTAAGCATGCACTCTACCACGTGAACTATACCCTCCCTCTAATATTTGTAGTTTTAAAAAAAGGTATAAAAGACGGCATAACATGAAAAGTTAAAGCCCTTTTCTCCTCTGCCTGT